GTTGAAGCTTGAAGCTTGCGTGTTGTTGTTCGTCTGTTGGTGCATTTGCTAAAGTTTATATGGCAGCCGGAACAAGCGAGATAGAGAGAGGGCGATAGAGAGAGTGCGAGAGGGAGAGATCAGAAGGTCTCTAGGTCTCCAACGAGACCCCAGTAAGGTCGCCACGCGACAGCATTTAGACAAACAAGTGTCACTGAAGATGATGAAGAGCTGCCAGCCATACATAAGAGCAGACCAAAAGAGAAACTGAGTTGTCGCTGCGATTTATGCAGCGATTTGCAAGTGCCTCAGCCTCTCTGGCTACGGGCAAGGCTGACACTTGGCAGCTGTGCACAGATGCGGAGCTCAGCGCTGGCATGGCGTGTAGTACGCTTATTATTAAAGAGTGCATAGTTCTAATCCCCGCTGTGCTGCAAAAGACCAACAGATCAGTAATTGCCCTCTCAACAAGTGCTCATTATTAATCAGCTTTCACTTACACAATTCCCAGACGCCGCACAAAGCTCTGAGCCCCGGGCTAGCATTCATTTTTAAATGCCTGAACAAACTCGGAATCGATATCGTCAACTTGAAAGGGCGTCTAATAATGTGTTCAGCATGTCAACTGTTGTCGAATGGTTGCCGGCTGGAGGGGGTTGGGAGTGGGTCGTCAAAGCTCAGCTCAGCTGAGCTCTCAGTCAACAATGGACACCCGGCTAGCTGTTTGGCCTCCCTAGTGCCACTTATGAAATTGAATGTAAACAAAATGAGCGTTCAGTCAGAATGTCCCTCAGCGACACCCACAATTCATGGCCCTGTCCTTCTCTCTCTCTCTGTGTGTGTGTGTGCTAGTGTTTGACTGACATATCGGCGCCGAGCAGCCAATTAACATGCAATTGTCATAAATTTACCCAGCGCACAGATTATTAAACATTCATAAAATAAATTACAAGCCAAAGCGCATAAATTCTGAATTGATTTTAACGCATTCTGTGGAGGACTATTAAATGGAAATCAGAACAAAGCGCATTACCAGACAGAGAGAGAGAGAGAGAGAATGGGAGATGCGGAGTCGCCAAGCCAAGAATCTTGTTATTGAATTATAACAATTTCTACCATAATGGCTAAAGGAAAAACATAAATTTTGCCGTTAAAGTTTCCAAGGGTTCCACCCCAGCAACAACAATTCATAGAAATCAATTGCTGCGGCGCATTCAAGGGTTAAATTTAACTAGGGCAGAGGCAGGGACAAGGGCAGGGGGAGAGAAAGAGCAGCAAATAAATAGATGTGCTAGAGAAACGTAACAAAGAACATAAAGGGCAACTGCTGCACTGACTGAGAGGGCGAGGGTGGCTGGTATACAAACGGGTGTATTAGTTTGTGTAGTTTCAAGAGCTTGTGGGCTTTGTAAAGGAAACTTTGTCGTGCAGATACAGATAGAAAGAGAGGAAGAGTGAGAGGGAGAGTCACGCACACATGGCTTTGCCAAGTTGACATAACTCCGAGCTGATGTTAAAGCTGCTTTGCAAATGCAATTATCTAGCGTGCACTTGATGCAGCTACAAGTTCAAGCTGCTGCCTTGAAGATTCCCGGTGCACTATTATTGGATTACTGCGTGCTCTAATGGCATTTTGTCGCGTTTCGCTGTCGAAGCATCAAAAGCTGCTAAGCAGATAATTTCGCCGCGCTGCGAATGCCATTAGGAATTCTCTCTGGAAGCGCTTTAGTTTTAATTTTTTCCAGTAAAACTGAAATGATAAAAACTGCATCAGCATCAATGATAATGATCATGACGACGATAATGACGTTCACAAAAAATGCATGAAAATAAAATACAAAATGAACAAGAATTCAAACAAAACGAAAATATTTTATGACATTGCTGACAATTTATGATGCAAATGCCACGTTAAAAAAAGGGGCAGAGTAAGAGGGAGAGCAATGGGAGGAGAGAGTTGAAGGATGCGGGCAGCTTTTTGGGTGCAGCGACGACAAATTGTCGAGAAATTGCATAAAAATACATATCAAAATAAATTGTTATGCTGAAATCTGTAATCTGAAGTAGTTGCGGATGCACTCGAAAGATATTTACGAGTGCAGCTCTGCAGTGGGCCAAAAAGAGATGCAGAACTAGAGAGAGAGAGAGAGAGAGAGAGAGAGGAGGGGAGAGAGGGAGTCAGCAAGTGCAAAGGGCAGCAGTCCATAAAAGGCAAAAAACTCTGAATTGTTTTTCTGTTGATTCATCAGAAAATAAATTGAAATATTCTTGTTGACATTGCACCAAAAACAAAAAACAGCAAGACAACAATGCAACAAAGAGCATGTTCTGTGTTCAGCATATCATGGAGTCGGTTAAGCTCTCTGTGTTTGCTCTGGTGATTTATTTAATTTACTAAAACTAGCAGCATAAAATATTTGATAATAAAATCACGTTCACACGCCTACGGCCACAAATCAATTGAAACACGCATCAACCGATCGAAAACCAAAAACAAAACCAAAAAAAAAAAAAAGATTCCCTGACCGACCTATTGACCAAAACCAACCAAATCAACAAAATCAAGCAGCCAGTTCATTAAAACTTTTATGCATATGTTTGTCAAAAAATGAGTCCCATTTTCGTGGAACAGAGCAACCGCAACATCAGCAACAGCAGCAGCAGCAGCAGCAGAAGTCCCCAAACACTAACAACTTCAATTCGTTGTGACGTTTCGCTTAGCTTCCCTTTCCCTGTTGGGGATTTTAGCCTTTGGGCAAAATTGAAATCCATCCGAAACCCCAATAAAAAACCTTCCTGTGCGGTCGACAAAACACAAAAAAAAGAGCAAAAAGCAGAAAAATTTGTTACATTCCAAATGTTAGTTAGTTAAAAAGCATTTATTTATGAACATTTCAATATAAATAGCCCGAATGTTGGCAATTTCAGCAACATTTACCACATTTGATATATGCACGCAATAAATTTTGGTGGCTAACCGACATGAGAACCACATAGAAACGTCAGCAGCAACAACAACATTATTAGAAACCAAAATGCGAACGCCCAAAGCGCATCGAATCGCCTATGACTAATGCCCATGTGATTCAGTCAGCGATGTGAACGGGAAGCCTAAGGTAAATAAGGTGGGTTCCGAAGAATTCAAGGGTATACTTTATAATGTGAGTCTAGGAAATGCCGAAGCGTTAAATGACTTAGCGATAATTGCATTTGAAATCGACTCTGGCTTTTGATACATTATTTATTCAGTTCGACTCACTTGATGCCCCTTGAGGTCCACAAAAATAGCTACTGAACTTTTTTGATTTAAATAAAGTCCTCTTCATACGCCATGTCAAGGCTGTTGCTTCAATCAAGCCATTGCAATTCCTTCTGCGGTCATCCGGTCTCTGATATAATTATATAAATTATTCCACTTCGATTTCTAGCGATGTTTCTATGTAAGCAATGGCTTTATGTGCCCACAAATTCCCATCGATTTAAATATGCATATAAATATATACGCATTCAATATTATAATTAGTTTTATTTTTTTACTTTTCGATTGCTTTTTCTCATTTTCATGCTGAGCACTTTATTATGAATTTTTATGGCGTCCTATCACATTATTATTATTTTTTTGTTTTTGTTCGAAATTAATTTATCGCCATCAAATAATAACGCGCCGAAATCGAAGCGAACGATCGAAAAAATACTTATATATATATATACATATATATAAAAACACTTTTCGGAGGCTTCGTCATCGTCAATGTCTGCAGAAGCGTTGCCTGCATTTAAATGGACAAATTAATTGCGTTTGTCATGTGGTCGGCTCTGGTTCTGGTTCTGGCCTGAGTCGCCGAGTTCATGAGACCTAAATCAAAAAATAAAAATAAAAACGAAAAGAGAAAAAGCACCTGGATAAAAATGCGATTTAATTGGTTTTTGGACAGCGTTGAAATGTGTTTAATTTAGCATTAATGAATATACACATCATCGGGCTGGGTGCTTGGAGAATTGGCGTTGAATTATTGGATAGTTCGAAGTCGTTATAAATCTTCTTATCGCTGCGATCGGCGTCTGATCATCAAATGTCCATTAAACAGTTGCAAGCACAGCCATTATCCTTGTCTATCTGCGCTGAGCCCTCGGCAAGCCGTCCTTCATCTGCTTCTTCTGCTTCACTTGGAACCCCCAGAACGCGCTGTTGGTCCCAAAAGCCAAGGGGATCCCGATTCTCTGGACATTAATTATCACACAGTTTGAGTTTTTCGATCGAATACCTTTTTTGATACACGACAAAGTCGTTGCGGAGGGTTCGCTGCATGCTGTAAGCGTGTAGGAGTATCGAACGTGATCCCTTCGCTGCCTTCAACTGCTCCTCCGCCTTCGCTTGCAGCCTCGTGTCAGTTGACATTTTGATTGTGTCGCCTTTTGTGTATTAATTGAGCATCGCTTTTTTCTTCTTCTTGTCGCTCGAGAAATTAAGTCGTTTCCCCGGAATGCCGAACGCTCAAGCTATGCCCCTTTTCCATCATGGACCACACATGGCGCGACAGCACAGTGGGACGCGTGGAGCTTCATGGAATCATCAAAAAATGTATGCTCTATTAGCGCAGCCTGCGGGCCGCATTGCCAAATTAATTGGAATTAATTAGCGATATTAATAGACATTATTATGATAATGATGAAGACGATTCGCATGAATTTATTGAGTTAGCACCCGCAGCAACATTTCGATCCAACGACTGGCCAAGACATTATAAAATTCTCCTCATTTGATAAATCACTTAATTGCGGCTCTCGGCCAACTGTGCGAGAGACGTTCGAATTAACATTTCAACAAATATTTAATAATCGAATTATTGTTGCATAATTGCGATGTCTGATTGGAATGTGGCTGGCATACATAGAAATACCCGAGGGATTTCGCTACAGCAAACATTCCTGGAGAGTTTTTGTGGGCCTTAAACAATTTAAATGCAACTCTGGTTGATTCCTTGATTAGTTAAGTAATTTCAACATAGTTACCTTTGTTCTTCCAAGCTGTCAGAGAATAAGCCCCAAATCTTGATTTATTAACTTGCACCTTGTTGTTGCCCCCTGCTGCGAGTTTTCAAATTCTATCATGGGTCGTGGACGCCGAGAGAAGCATCAAACACGCAGTCGCCATCACAGATCACGTTCGCGGTCGCACTCCAAGCATCGGCCGACGCGCTCCAGTTCGATAACGAGTCAATCGGTTCCAATGAAGCGTCGCAAGGAGCGCGCCAATTCTTCATGGGATATACCACCGCAGGGCTATGAACATCTCTCACCAGTCCAGTACAAGGCAATGCAGGCGAGTGGCCAAATCGCATCCCGAATCGTTCCTGATGCCCCGCCCACTGGCGAGTCGGCAGCGATTGCGACGGTGACGCGGCAGGCCCGTCGACTGTACGTCGGCAACATTCCATTCAGCACCACCGACGACGATATGATGGCCTTCTTCAATGAACAGATCAATCGCTTGAACGGCACCCAAGGAATCGACGGCAATGCTGTGCTCACCTGTCAAACGAATCTGGACAAGAATTTCGCGTTTCTCGAGTTCCGTTCGATGGATGAAGCCACGCAGGCTATTTCCTTCGACGGCATCAGCTATCGTGGCCAGACGCTGAAGATAAGACGCCCGCACGACTACCATCCGGTGGCCTCGATAAGCACTGCGGAGGTTGTGGAGATCACAAAGGGATCAATCATAAATGTCCGGAATACGCCAATTTCGCCCGTGGTGCCCGATTCGCCGCACAAAATCTACATTGGCGGCCTGCCCACCTGCCTGAACGAGGAGCAAGTCAAGGAACTGCTCGTTACCTTTGGCCACCTGCGCGGCTTCAATCTGGTTAAGGACACCGTGACGGGGCAGAGCAAGGGCTTTGCATTTTGCGAGTATGTTGATTCCTCCATTACGGAACAGGCCATAGCTGGCCTGAACGGCATGCAGCTGGGCGATCGCAAGCTCATCGTGCAGCGTTCCATTGCCGGTGTACGCAATCTGGTGGCCAACCAGTTACCCGTGCTGCAGGTGCCCGGATTTCCCATGGATGTCACCACGGGCAAGCCCACCGAAGTGCTGTGCCTGCTCAATATGGTGCTGCCCAGCGAGCTGTTGGACAATGACGAGTACGAGGACATTCGCACGGACATCAAGCAGGAGTGCGCCAAGTACGGCAAGGTAAAAAGCTTAAAGATTCCACGTCCCAGCGACGAGTTACCCCAAGGCGGCTGTGGAAAGGTTTTTGTGCGCTTCGAATCCATCGACGACTGTAAGAAGGCCTTGAACGCATTGAGCGGGCGCAAGTTCAGCGGACGCATTGTCATGACATCATTCTACGATCTAGACAAATACAAACGCAAAGATTTTCAATAATAATCTCGGGATTTCTTTACTACGCAGCAATGATTGAGTTAAGCCAGCCGCTGGGCAGTGAAGTAAGGAAAACTTTCTCCTTACTTGTCTGGCTTCATATGAGCTCATCGCTAGAACTGACTTTGTACGGTCAACTCATTGCGATCAGTTCATTCCCAAACGGTTTAGGTTTCATCGAACAACTGTGATTTCTACTTGCCTCAAGCTACTGCGATATAGAGTATTGATACCCAGATTGCTGAAAACAATTCAAGAAAGTAAAACCTATCAAGTCGCTTACTCTTTACACAGCTGTGTTTAGCCTAGCAGACAGTTTGTACAGTAATCGATACTTATCGATTTCTTAACAAGTGTATTTATCAAGCATATGAAATAATTGATCTTTTTCATTAATCACAAACCAGAATCGTGAGCTCATAATACCCTTCAGGTTCCATTTGCAGGGCATGGCTATGCCACTGTTGCCATAGCAGTCAACAAAGCTGCCAGGACACGCCCTCAGTTGCCTCAGTAGACAATCCTGAAAGCCACAAAAGCCGCTCAGAAGCTTAATTAAAAAATGTTCAGCGTAGCTCCCTTATCGCGGGCATTTCTCACATATTCACACCTAAACCCTCAGCTTCACAAGCTGTGAAATGCCTTTCGAGTTGCAGGCAATCAGGCCAGACGCAGCTCATTACGGCCAAAACAGGGCATTGTTAATGCTTTTTCAATTTCCGAACCCGACCAAAAAAAAAAAAAACAAAACAACAAAAAATATGTGGACATTGGGGGGAGCTTATCGCACGGTTGCATTTTCTCAGGTACCACTGTACCAGAGGCTGTGCAGCTTATCTTTATTTTGGTCATTTGCCCGACAGCCCATCATCAATAATGAAATGCAACTGCCGCTGGCAGAGCTTGAATCGCGTTCGATTTATCAGCGCCGAGAGACGACTTAAACTAAACGCTTTATCGCAAAGTCTCGTCAAGAGATACGCTTCAATGTGGACTTGCGGCCGCGATTCCCGTGGACACAAATTAATTCAACGCCTTGGATTTGTCATCTGGAGGCTTTTAGGTAGGGAGGCGAACGCGTCTTGATAAAAGCGCTGCCGCCGCCAACAACGAGTTGGACTCCTCTCTAGAAATCAATGCCTCTATGGGTAATTAATAAACGCCCATAAAGATGCGGATACAATAAAAATTCCAAGCTTGCAGAGGAGAGACAGAGACGGAGACAGAAATTGAGAGAGAGAAGTCATTCGGCTTTGTTTCGGTTGAAGAAAAAGGGTTTCTTTCAACGTGGTTTTTTATGATCTGCAGCTGGGATGTCGGGATTAACTGGATTGGTGTGAGAGTCTCTGCCTCGAGAGCCCTCGCTCAGATTGCTGACCATTTGGTGTCTGAGGTTAGGGTCCGGTCGATTGGATTTGAAATTCGAACCCGTTCGGATGTTAGGTAATCGACGCGATAAGAAATTAAGAAATCAAATCCATGACTCTCCAGATAGTTGAGTGAACTTCTACGCATCTTTAATTGCATTCTCATCATTTATTGCTTAGGGCGGGCGAGAATTTGAATATGATGTAGTAGATAATTATGGGCCACAGGATGAACTTGATGTCGAGGGCGTTATCTTGATGATGGCCATTAAAAGCAGCTACCTCTGGCCAAACACTTTTCAAGTAGCGATTCTTCTGTACGACTTCTATATATACACCTAATTGGCTTTTGTTCAGATCACTTGAATATTTAGACCCAGACAAAGAAGAAATAAACGGCATTCTAGCTGCTTGTTGATGATGCCTTAAAAGCACCCACAACACGATATTTATTTTAATAGCCCAAGATATGCATCTGAGTGGCTTGGCTTGGCTTAATAAACACATTGGGCAAATCATACAAATTTGTAGCTCTCTAATGATCAACAGACTTATCGCAGATGCTCACATATCTGATCAATTTGTAAGGCCTTAATGAGGAAATATTTGACAGAACAAAACAAGATTTGAATTCCGGATTTAGCTTTGGCATTCGATTATTCAATATTTAAGCAGCGAAACGCCTAAAGAACTTTTCATCATTCGCAAAGGCTCCTTGTGATCTGTCTAGCTCTTCTCAGAAAGGTTAAATGTTTTGATAAGCGCAAATAAACATTGCCATTGATTGGGGAAGAGAAATATTCAATTAAGTGAAACCTGTTGCCTGCCGTAGATTCACGAAAGCTAAAATCCAATTCAATTTGCATTTCCTGCTGGCTCCCTGCCCACTGCGAGTGCTGCTCGTAAACAAAATCAAATAAACAAAATATATATATATAAAAAATGTTTTGTAATTTCCTTCTCTTCTGTCTGGGGCTGGGAACAAAGGCGCAAACAAATTACACACAAATACTCGTAATTTCGTCGAAAATGTACCAGGAATGGGATGGAACGGGCTGAGATGCCAATGGCAAGGGGACGGGCGTTGGGCGGTGCCAAGTGACGTTCCTGTCTCCGACTCGCTGCGTTAATGGCAGTCGCAATTAATTCGAGCAAATCGTCTGTGAACCCTTTTTATGACCTCCTCGCGAGGGGGCAGGCGGAGGTCTTTCTCAAATAAAAATTCATTAAACGGTGAGACCCTCAGCGCTCTCTGTTAGCTTTGAACTGCTCTGCAACGCAAATAATAAACGCGGAATAGGCGCACAAAAATGAATATAAAAATTTCTTTAAATGCCAGCCAAATTGATGCGCAATTTGTGAATGAATACACTGAGCAAATTCGAAGGTGAAGACAAAATTTAATTCAAGACTTAACTGCCCAAGAGTCTCTAAGCGTTTTGTAAGCCAGCTCTACTAATAGTCTGTAATAATTTATAGAGTTTACTTCAGAAGTACTTGGAATAAATTATAGTTCAGAGATCTTTTTGAGAGAATTTTCACTATAACTCTTCGATTTCCTGCTGATATAGCCAAATAAATCACATTTGTAAAAACTTTTGTCTTTCGGTAAATCGTCAGAGTTCGAGTTCGAGTTCGTTGGAAAAACATATAAAAGTGGAAAATGCTAAAGTGAATGAATTTTCCGTGGCAGAAATACCTGAGAGCATGGCGCGTTTTAATGAGGGCCATAAAATCGAAGCGCCGGCCAGTTTCGAGGGCCTTCGGAAAAGACGGAAGGCCCGAAGAAGTGTAACAGGTGCGATAACAACAAAAACCCCGATGGATGTCGGGACAGCAGCCAAGACAATGAAATTATAATGAAGATTATGTGTAAAACAAAGTGCGGCTCGCTTAGGTAGCGGCCAAAGGACATTCGTGCAGCATGTTGAAAGCATCTTAAAGCTGTGACGACTTGAAAGCAAAGCATTCACAACATTTCTGCTGTTTGCTTTGATATTTTACCGACGCACCGAATACCCTTTGTAGGAGCATCGACAATAGGCCCGCTCTATGCTAAGCGAGGGAGTGAATAATACTGTGCATAATATTATCTTTGAGTGAAACGATAACCTCCGACCAGAGAGGTAAACAATTTAAGCTGCCTTTACGAATTTAAATGGAATTTGTGTTGCAGAAGGAAACGCGGCCGATTCTTAGCTGCTCGAAAACAGAGTTTATCAGGTAGTTAAGAATGACATAAATGTAAAGAAAACTTGAAAATCTATTAATAGAGAAGAAGAGGCGAGAGAGAGATAGAGATAGACGTGAATCCCTGCCTATTTGGCGTGCTTCCTTTGGAGTACTTGTCACTGCCATGATGACTGACAAGTTTATCCTTTCTGGCAGTTGCATCTTTTCATTATGGCACAGCTACCCAGCTACAGGGCAGCATGCCACTTGCTGGCTAGCTGCAGGTCAACGACCTCTGGCTAACAGAAGTTGGGAGACGTGAAGAGCCAGCGGGGTCAGCAGTGGAAGTTTTGTGCCGTGTAACGCGCATTGTTGCCTGTTGTTGAATGCTTCATATCCATCATAGTGTTCATACTCATGCCCAACTCTATGCATTTTGCCTATTCACTTGTCCTGGCGTTTCGTCTGTGCCCGCCCCCTCGCCGGCCCTCCTATTCCAGATCTTCAACTTTTGATACCCATCTGAATTTGCATTATTTTCTTTCGCTCTTCATTTCTGCTGCTGTTGCCGCTGTTTACTGTCATTCTGATTTTAATCTTTACTACACTGCCTGCTGCCTGCTGCCTGCTGCTGCTGCCTGTTGGCTGGTGGCTGCTACCTGCTGGCCTCTGTCCGCTCCACCTTCCTCTTGCCCTGCTCCTGCATTGCTTTATTTAGTTTTTTAATTTTTTTCGCTCCTCAGCTGCCCTGCACACTTGTTGTTGTTGCTGCTGCTGCTGCTGCCGCGTGCCCAGGTGAACAGGTTCCATTTCTTTAGGTTGGCAGTGCACTCGTCTTCATGCTCGTCTTCTTCTTCCCGTGCTTGTTGTTGGCCTGGCCAACATCCACTTGACGTTTCATTCGCATTTCATTTGCCGCATTGCCCGATTTAAGTCTGAAAAAGTATCCTAATTGGTATTAAAATCGCTGTTATTTTTTCTCTCTCTCTCTCTCTACCAACCTTTGTTGCCCAGTCTGGACGTGAATGGTGTCTTGTTGTTGTTGTTGCGTTTGTTATTGTATTTTGATACTTTAAAAGGCAGATCGCAACGCATTTACTGTATTCAAATTGCATTCATCTCCTAAGCACAAGACCCGGTCTCAGTTTCGGTTGCGCATTTTCTGATTTAATCACTTACAATTCAGATAAGAATCAGAAGCGAAATCGCTTCTGTTTGGCTTGCCAGCGATTTAAGTGCCCGATTACCTTCCAGGTATTCGGATGAAGAATGGTATGACAGAACCATATCTGTTGGATTGTGTGTAAATATACATAATTAACTCGTGTTTACTCTAAGGAAATACATGTATATAAAGTATGCAATTATATGGAATCATGTAACACTTAACGTTACGTGCTTTATATTGTGCAGGTCAGTTAAAATGTTAGTTGATTTAACTAACTTGGTCTAACATAAGTCCGAAATGTAAGTCAAGTA